GGCGGGGAAGTAGCCCGTTTCGTACCCCGAGTCTGTAGTGAAGGCTACCGCAATTTGGTACAAGTATTACAAGGGCCTCTTGGAAAACCGAATTACAAAAGAGGAAAAAAAAAAGGGCTAGTGCTTATATTCTTTGTTACAGTCTAGGCCTACTCCTTTTCTTCCCCACAGTGTGAGTTAATTTTGTCTACCAGCTCTGAGAAGTAAACAATGAACGCAAGTGGATACAAAATCAGAGCAAGGCCTTTCGTGGCGATGCAGCAAGCCGTTTCCACCATGTTCTGTGGGTTCTCTTTTCCCGGAGGACGAAATAATATTATTATAAAGGGGCGAAGGCAGCACTCTTGGTTGTTGCGTCTATGAATAAATTATTCTTTTCTCTATGTACACACATTCTCGTAAAGTTCAAAGCAAACCTGGCGGTAGATTTGACAACTGATGTAGTGCGCGCCCGGAGTGAAAAAAGCCCCATAGCTGTTGCATTATAATTCAAATTAATAATTGTAGATAGAACCTTTTGACTCACAGTCGGCCGCATGTGGACGCTGCACGGTGTCGCCAGTACGTGAGAGCTGCAGCAAAACTGGGACAGCGCGTGTATTCACTCACCGTATTCACGGCGGTATCTTCGTCACACGCACCTCTCTTCCTTCGATCTGCGTGTTCGTTCGCCTCCACTCTGGCCTCGCGCACGCGTGTGTTCGTGTGTCTGCGCTCGTGTGCGCGTGTTTGTGCCTTTAGCGGCCGGCAGCCAGACTTCTTTTGGATGATTCCGAGAGAGAGAGAGAGAGAGAGAGAGAGAGAGAGAGAGAGAGTATGCGATGACGATGACTCACTGGCTGATCAACTGATTCTCCCTTTATTCGCCGGGTCAATGGCACTCGGTGGAGACAGGGCACATTCCGAAAGTTGCCTTCGATTCCAAGCACGTTCCTGGCGAATGGCGACACTGTGCTCGACATAATGTCTAAGTCTGAGGTGGGACAACAGCACGGATTCAAGATGGATTTTATACGTCCGCAAGGGGATTTGTTCCTTTCTTTCACCAGTTGAACGATATACTGTCTGTTCCAGTCTTGGAGGTTCTCGTAGACTTGTATTGTTGTTTGTAGCTCGTGTGCACAGTGCTGTGCGTGTCTCTCCGTTCGACTGCACTACCTACCGTCAGGCTAAAGAGAAGGTTGCCTCCAAAGGGTGAGAAATAAGATTTATATATTATGTCTTGTCCAATTTATTAGCAGAGGCGAACAATATCGGTTGGACTTTGGTGTCTCGAGTCTAGTCTAATATTAGTGTATGAGATCAGCATATGGTTCATGAGGACAGGTATCGGCTTTCTGTGTGGGCCGTGCTGTTAAAAGGTTAGGCAATTTCAAATCTAAGGGTTAGACATAATTTAGAGTATTAGTCACTGTAACCTGTACACAAATAGAGTTTCTCATAATTTGGTTTACTCTATTCACTAGAGGGTTGGCCGTGACAGATAATTTATTTACTTATGCTAAGGTATGACTAATGTGTTCGGTTGTACCTTGTTGCAATGCAAATTTTTCGGGCCAAGTCTCGGACAATGTGTATCTCCTCATATTTTGCGTACTTTGTCCTGCCGTTGGAAGTATATTTTAGTTTCAAGAGAGAATATAATCCTGTCTGTCTGTCTGCCTGCTTGCCTGCCTGCCTGCCTGCCTGCCTGCCTGCCTGCCTCCCTGCCTGCTTGCCTGCCTGCCTGTCTGTCTGTCAGTCTGTCTGTCTGTGACCTCTCTCTTCCCACCTCTCTTTGTCTCGAGCTGCCCCTCTCTCTTTATCCCCTCTCTCCCATAAATCTTTTCTTTGTAGGAGAAAGTTTATTTTCTCATATAATAGTTTGTGTGTGTGTGTGTGTGTGTGTGTGTGTGTGTGTGTGTGTGTGTGTGTGTGTGTGTGTGTGTTTGTGGATGGGCATTACATTTTTGCGTTTGCCTGTGCTTTGAAAAGAATTTGATATGTACGTACACATGTGGACATACACTCACATAAACCCATGCAAACACACGTGCGCACACACACACATGCACACACGTACACACATACACACACACACAAACACACACACACACACACACACACTCTCTCTCTCTCTCTCTCTCCCTCTCTCCCCCCCCTCTCTCTCGCTCACGCACGCAAGCAAACTCACACGTAATTCACACACTCACTAATCAAAGTGTACTCTTGTACACTATACATCTGAGGTCATGAGAGAGAGAGATAGATAGAGAGAGAGATAGATAGATAGATAGATAGATAGATAGATAGATAGATAGATAGATAGATAGA